TGCCCACCTTATGAAGAGTTGCCTGAGAATATGTTGGGACGAACAATACTAAGGAGGGGGCAGTGTTGCGTCATCGAGGTCACGTGGCTGGTGTGGCGCCACCTATTTTCTAGAACTATCCTGTACCTTGGCGAATGCTCTAGTAGTTACTAGATATAGGGTAGTCTGGTATAAAAAAGAGGGTGACAACGTGACGGGATAGTAATGTGTGTGTAGACAGTGAGTAATTGATCTGCAGTCAGAAGTATTATTGACGTTCGTTGATATAGCGTTTGTTTTAGCGCGATTGTTGAAAATAAGTGTATCGTAAAGTTGTATTTGGAAAGAATAAACCAGTTTTATTAAGTAAGGACTTGTGTCGCTAAAGTTTCGTTGGAACGAAGTTACGGAAAGTTAAATAAACAAACGGAGACGTAACAGTACATTTTTGTTAAGTTAGTGACACAGACACAATGGCAAATTTAACAAGCGACTAGTAAGTTTTATTTGTGAGTTACGCCTACTAAAGAACTTATCCTATAATACTTGTACAGTCGGAAAAAAATCACTTTCATTGTGGTTAAGAGGACCGAACTTTGAATTAATACTGTTACGTCTCTGGTCGTTGGTAATTTTCCGTAATAATTATTCCCAAAAAAAACTTCAGCGATACAAGTCCTTTCTTAAATAAAACTAGTTTATTCTTTTTCAATACAACTTTGCAATACACTTAATTTCCACAGTCACTTTAACTTGAAAACACTATAATTCACAACGATTGACGCACTTTACTTACGGTCACTACAGCGCTTGACTCAATTGGCCGTCTGTATTTCTGCCTGTCTGCAATTCAATTCATTATCTCGCTTTATTTGCCTGTTTATATACTAAAATAGTGGGCGCGTAGAAAAGACTAGAGTTGTCATGAAGAGACATGATCTTTCTAGAAACTCCACCGTGCATGCTTCCAGCGTCGCGTGACTTTCGCTGTCATAACACTGCCCCTTCCTTAATATTGTTCGTCCCGAACAATAGCCACTTAGATTAAACCAATAGATAATTAACAATAGCTTAATTAAATGTACATAATTAAGAAACACAAATTAAAATTCAACAAAGTCTCTTAATTTTGCAGGACGTATCTTCTTCCGTACTGGTCTCCATCTCGTTGGCTTCTGCTTTACAAAAAATCATCTGCTCCATCAGGAAATGTCCTATTATCGGTAATAGTCACATCAGTGGTAGTAACTTCATGAAGGGC